AGGGTGTGTGTGAGTGAGCGTGTGTGTGTGTGTGTGTGTGTGCGCGTAGAGGGGCGCGCGCGTGAGCAGGGGGTGGGGAGGCGAGGCAGAGCCTGGTGCGTCTCCCCGGGCGAGTGGAGGAATCCTAGGGTGTGCCTGGAGGTGGCGGAGTGTGCCAACGCGGGCGTGAGCGCGTGTGCCGGCGAGGGTGGGCACGGGGGTGAGCGTGGCAAGGTGAGCTTGGCTTCGGGGTGGGGGAGGCGCGGGGAGTGGGGCGTGAGCGTGAGTTCGGGGGCGTGTGTGGCTGGGGACAGGGCAGAGGTGGCAAAGGGCGCCCCGTGTCGGCGCGGGGGGGGCGGGGCACTGGGTGTCGCTTTCTCGCTGGCTGTCCACGCGGCAGCAGCACCTGCTTGAGCCCAAGCCCGGCCACCTGGCGAGGTAGAGCCGGCCACAGAATAAGCTGCTAGGCTTGCCGGGGGCTCTCAGCTCCGTGTACCGCGGCTGGAGAGGTTCCAGGGGAAGGGGGAATACGGCGCTTACCCCACTTAAGAGCCGCTGTCCTGGAGCGCGAGGGCACTGCCGGAAGCTTGGGATTCGCCCTCTTATCCCGCCACGTGTGCCCAGCACCTAGAACTGAGAGTCTGGAATCGGGAGCGTGAACTCTCACGCCCAAACTCGTCCCCTTCCTTTTGGAGCCGACCCAGCCACTCGGGGCCTCTCTGAAGCCCATGGATCCCCCTGCCTGATGCCTAGCCCCAGGATGGGAAGTGAGAGGTGCCCAGAGAGCCGAGCCGTGTGTCTGGCCCAGACGCCCTCCCTCCCGGCGGTGGCGCGCAGAGGGCGCGGTCCCCACGGCTGGCTAACTGACTACTTTGGCTTTCCCGGTGTCTCCGGCCGCGGTGCCCGGAATTCCGGGATCTCGGCCTGGCGCTCGCGAAGCGAGGCAGCGCTGTGCCTCAACAGGGACCGGAACGCTTGGCTCCAGCGGTCACAGTTCTGGGTGTGAAGAGGTGCGTGCCGAGATAGGGACCCAGAGAAATGTGAAGTATGCGGTGACTATGAGGGCGTGCTTGAACGGGCAGTTCTAGATCCAGAGCTGGAAGAGGATCTCACTGAGTCCAGAACAGGGTTTCTGGTTTATGAGAACCACAAGCCCTGTTCCACATTGAGGGGTGGAGGAGGGAAATTGTGGGCTGAGCTGTTGTGGGCTGGCCAGTGACTGCTTGGAGCCCCTCATTCACCCACTTTCCCACTCTCCTCCAAGACCCCTTGAGTATGACTGTGAAAGGTGCACAACCGGCCCTTCCAGAGGTGGGCGTGGGCTCTATTAGCATTTGCCAGGAGTCCCAAAGCTGCGAGAGATTTGCATACTGATTTGCATACAGTAATAATGATTAACAACACTGCCACTCCCTGGCAGACAGGGGAAGAATTCAGGGAAGGCCCTGGCGCTGCTCCACGTCTCTCCTCTCTTTCTCTGGGGAAGAGCTTTTTTTCTCACAACTGCCAACCTGAACTGCTCTGACCTCTAGGAGAAGGTGTCTCAGACTCTGGTGAGCAGGTCCCAGGAGGGGCGCTTTCATCCTCCACCCCAGGCCCAACTCTGGAGAGTTTAAACCCAGTATTTTATTTCTGCCCAGGTCTGAACAACTGTCTATTCCCACCCGTTGTTCTGCATCTTTGGGGTCTTTCAGGGGCCAGGGCTGCCCCTCAGCTTAGTGGCTTTGGAGGACAGTTAGCTGGGGATATGGTCTCTTCCCTGGAGAGGTCAATCGATGAGACAATTGGACCTTATTGAGGATAGGACACTCATTTAGATCTCCAACCCTTTACCTGCCCCACCTTCCTCCTCCCCAGTTCACATCTCATTGCTAAAGTGAATTCACTGTGGCTATGCTTTCTGTCTTGAAGATCTAGAGGAAAATAGGAAAGACTTGGATTTCTAGTCTATGCCAGTGTGTTTTTTATTTACTAGCCCTTCCCACAAACAGGTGACCTGGAAAATAAGAGAGAGCAAGTGATGGGGAGAAAGAAGGTCTTTTGCATTGGGCAGCTGGAGGAGCCACTGCCAGGAACTGCTGCCCTTCCTCTCTGCTCCTCAGCCCTCCATTGCATCTTTTCTGCACTGCCTGTCCTCACCATCCCCCTCTCCGCCTCTGGCCCGGCCTGGCCGGGATTTTCAGTTGCTTTTCCCCCATGACACGGCCGCTTTTTCTTTAACTCTCAGCTTCTATTTAAAAAGCTAATTTGGGAGCTTGTCGATGCTCCCAATTCAGACATTTTAAATAGGAACTGAAAGTCAGGAGCTGCCAGGGCACTAGATTTCCTTCCCTTGCCACCAGCACAGCAGAGGCGTTTGTTCAGTCACTCCGCTGGCCCTGGCCGGGTGTGTCTGTGCATGAAAGCCCGCAAGCATGGGGTGTATTTCAGGCTATCTTTTCTATTTAAAGACAGTGCTCCTATGGATGACTGTTCTGTGTGTGTGTGTGTGTGTGTGTGTGTGTGTGTCCTTTCCAAGCTGTGGACATATGAAGATTCTTCTTTAGTCCTGTGGCTCTGTCGGCTATTTGCAGAGCTTGTCGTTGTGGTGTGGACTGTGAGGGCAAGAGGCAGCCCAACTCAAAGTCGCTGCTTCTTGGCTGGAGTGTTTGCGTGGCTGTTTCCCAGGGCTGCTCTGCTCTGCTTCGCTCTCTGGAGCTGTGCCTCAGTATGGCTTTAAGGGTGGCTTCCACCTTCACTGAGGCTGTCCTACTTCAGCAATCTGCCCCATGGTGATGCAAGAATTTGGGGGTGGGGGGTGGGCTTGTGCCTCTGAAGTTTGCATGCTTTCTACATTCAGGGTCTGTCAACCTTGGAGGTTAAAAAGCACAGACCGGGAGGTCAGACTGCCTGGGTTTGAACCTGCCTTTTCTGTTAACTAGCTGTGTGACCTTGGGGAAGCTGCTTAACTTCTCTGTGCCATGACGTCTTCTTCATCTCTATAATGGCAATAAATAACACTGTCTATCTTACAAGGTTGCTGTGAAGACTAAATGAACCATCACAGATAGAGCACTTAGGACAGTCTGGAGCTTGGGAAGTGCAGTGTAATTGTTGGTTGTTGTTCAAGATAGGAGGTGCAGGGAGTAGGTGCAGTGATATCTGTCTGGGGAGGAAGATAGAACTGCCAGGTTGTACACACACGCACACACACACACAAACACACACACACGCCCATGCATGTAACAAAAATGCCAAGCCATGGCCCATAGTGAGTCACATTCACCTTGTCAATATAGCTGATTTCCCAAGCTCCAGAAGAGGAATATTTCTGGTGAAGGAATAGAGAAAGTCTCCGAACTGGAGATGAAGAAGGGGCTTGACCCTGTCAGACGTCCACGGGGCGTTTATTTCTTAGTGACCAATTTTTTGCTGAAAGTGTTAAGTCCTAGGAGCGTCATTATCCACATGGTCCCAGTCTCTCTTACTCAACCATACAAGCTAGACCTTTATGACATGGAGCTCCAGGGAGGGACTCCAGAGGGGTAGCCCCTCATTCTTCCCAAGCCTTCCCTTGGGTTAAGGTCCTCTCACTTTGATGCTGCCATTGCCTCTTACCCCTTTCCACAGGGTGGAAATATGACCATTTACTCAGTTGCCATCTTGCCATCAGAGTTTATTTCCTCTCAGCTCTTGAACAGATGGAGAAAGAAGATGGGGACCCTGCAGGCCACTAACGGGAAGGGGAGCTCTAAAGGGCTGAGAGGAGGAGGACTGCCCAAAGGGCTCCCAGGCCACACCGCATCCTTGGATTGTATCAAACCCTGAAGTTACAAAGTCCCCATATGCTGGGCTCCTTGCTAGGTCTTTGATAATCCTGCAGGACAGATATTACCACTCTTTCTCAAATGGGAAAACTGGAGGAGGTTGATGGAGAGGGACACTGCAGAGGGATACCAAGATGCATAGCTAGAGCGAGGCTCTGAACTCGCCTTCTTACCGCTGTCCCAGGATGCTGTTGTTCTCTTCTGAGAGTAGAATGGTCCTTAGAGAAAGGGTCTGCCCTGAGGGGAGCCCTCTTGGCCTAGCTCTGTTGACTTCTCCTGTATTTCGTTTCCACAGGGATGCAGGGATGAGTGTGGGGGTGGGGGCTTAGTGCATCCAGGTTGGGGCTCACCCTCTGAGATTTCTTCAGGGTGAAGTTTTCCTGAGGGATTCCAAAGCATGGTAGTGACTCGGCACCCCCTAGTTTACAAGGAGAGGCAGGTGGTGGTGGTAGTGAACATGCCCAGGAGCTGTGCCCTAGGACCAGAGGCCAGGGGTGCACTCCTGAGCATTGGCCTGTGTAGTCATGTCACTAGTCAGTACAATCAGACCAGTCATGGCAAGTGAGAGGCCATCAAAATTGTGGGACTCCAGTGGAACACCCGAAAGTCAGCCCTTGCCGTGGCCTTTCTGCCAGACACCTACTCCAACCAAGGCAGATCCTGGGAGAGGCGTAGCCTTAGTGGAAGGCGTTCTGCTCATCAAAATGCCTCTCCTAGGGAGAGGCCAGGGAAAGAAGAGGATGAAAGAGGAGGAGGAAAGCAAGTATGAGCAGGGGAGACAGGCACTGGGAGGGAAAAATAAAGGAAACTGTAATCATTTGTTTAGTTTCTTGCTAGAAACAATTTGGAGGAGGGTGGGTGGAGGCTGGGGGTACAGCTCTTAGGGGCAGTGACTGTTTCGTTCTCCTTGGTGTCTCCTTTGGCTTGTATGCTGGTGCTTCCATGGGCTCCATCCTTGGTGTTCTTTGCTCCTCGGCCTGCCCTTTACTTTCTCTTGGAGAGTCTATGGGAGCCGACGGTTTCAAGTTCACTCAGATGCTTAAGGCCTGTTCCTGAGCTCTCCTTGACCCTGTGTCTATCCATAGAGTGTCTCTGTGTCTGTACCCAGGCACCTCTGTGCTTCTCACCACTTTCATTCCTTCTGCAGGCAATGGTTTCCTCTAAAACCCTGTTCCGATCATGTCATCCTTTCTGAACTTACCTGCTTCCACTTACACCTTTCTTTCTAGCACACAGACCTTTGCTCCATTACCTGACAACATCTCATCCTTTCATGTCTTCATGCCTTTGCACATTGCCATACCTTTTTCCAGGGTGCCTCTGCTATTTCTTATTTCCATCTGTCACCCTAGCAATCATCCACTCAGCCTCAAACCTTAAATACCCAGTGCAAAGTCACATGAGAAGTATTGTTAAAGCTCTTCCAGG